GAGTGCCCCGCTGGCTTGTGCTGGGGGGATAGGCGGGAGACGCTGGCCACGCGTCGGTGCGGACAGGGCTTCACGGGCAGGCTGCTTCTGGGCTGAGGTGGCTCGTCCCTGACGATCACGTTGTTGACCTGATTTGGTTTTTTTGCCCGTAGTTCGATGTAGCGCAGAAAAGAGGAGATGGGACTGAGGGCTTGGTCGTGCCTAGCTGGATCAGGGAACCTCGTGTCCTGATCTGTGACTGCGACCTGGAGAGGGATGAGCTCTCTGCAGAGCTGCTGCTGTGGCTCTCAAACCCTGGAGCAGCTGTGTCCGGGTTAGCCCAGGCACCGGGCGTGCTGCGAAGTCGTTTCAGGGGAGTTGTAACGCTCTTGCTGTGCCCTGTGCCTGCAGGTTTTGGATGCGGTCAAAAAGCACGGCGTGAAGCTGACCACCGTCCTGACCACACATCATCACTGGTAACTGTCTGCTGTAGTGGGATCCCTCTCCCCTCTGCATAAACACCAGCAGTCAAGAATTGTTGCTTCTCTGGATCGAGTTGGTCTTCTCTAAGCAGGAGCTTAGCTGTGAGGAGAGGGATCAGAGCTCAGGAAGCGTTCTCTTGGGCTTGATGTGACCGGATGCGTTGTCTGGGGTGCAAGCCCTGTGTGTCAGTGCCTTTAACTTGTAAAACGCTGACTTCTTCCAGGTGCCTGGTGAAATAAATGTGTGTGAAGGTAGCTGTGGAGCGCGGGAGGGAGCACCCTCACCCCGAGGTGCTAGGACATGCCTGTGAGGCGTGCTGCTCGCAGTCAGCGCTTACGGGAAGATTACCTGCGTTGCAGATTAACTCTGCCAGGGCTGTGAAGATGAATGATTCGCTTTAGGAGTTTTGCAGGGCTGAACCAGAGTAACCTCTGCTGTGGGTCGTGCTGGAGCCACCTCTGTGGCTGGAGAGCCAGCTCTGAGCTGGCAGGACCAGCACCACAAGCAATTGCTGAGCTGTTTGGACATCTGTGTGCCTGCTCCACGATGCCTTGTGGGACGCTGAATTACACATGTCCCAGTTATCCCAGTCTCTACCCGCCCTAGTTACTGGAGACCTGGCTGTGAGCCCTTGAGGCTGTTGTTTGCCGATGAAGTTTGAGCTTGTAGGGACTTGTGCCTTACTCTCACTGCCTCAGTTACTGGAGAAATTGTCTCCACCCATGCTGATATGGCATGTCCTGTGATATGAGGACAGTGTGAGATACTGGGAGAACAGCTGATCGGAAATGGTCACCTGGAGGTTACCACTGCAGTCTGAGTTATGATAAATTTGGCTTCATCCCTGCCCAAATCCATGTTTCTGACCTTGCAGGGACCATGCTGGAGGAAATGAGAAGCTCGTAAAGATGGAGACGGGGTTGCGCGTGTATGGGGGAGACAGCAGAGTTGGAGCGCTGACGCAGAAAGTGTCTCACCTGACATCGCTCAAGGTAAAGGCAGTGAGCTGTGGGACGGGGCTGGGGGCATCTCCCGTTCGTGTGACAGCTTTAAGGCTGGACCCATGCTGTCCAACTGGAGTTAACGTTGTGGTCACCGCTCTTTTACCGTGTAGCATCTCTTGGATGTAGCTGATAGTTTCAGTCCAGCGTTCGCCCTTTTCGAGCCCTGTGACCGCAGCCCCTCTGTCTTGCTGTGGCCGGTGGTACGGCACTGGTGAGAACGTTGGCGTGGCTCAGCCGCCTGCCTGGCCTGGGGCGTGCTGGCCGTCCCTGCGCTCCCTGACAGCTGCCATTGCTGGGGTGGGCAGAGCCGACGTGGGAAGGGACAGGCCCGTGCCCTGCGTAGAGCCCGGTTAGCACCGAACGAGTGCAAGGGGCCCTCTGTGAGCGAAGTCTGGCACGGGGGTGAGGAGAAGGTGGGCCAGCAGTGCTAGCTGCCCGCATTGCTTTTCCAGAGCTGAAGCAGCAAACCTCGTTGGAACTTGGCTCTGTTTACAGGCGAGCTGGCAGATGACGTGAACTGCTGCGAGGTGTGCAGGCTGGCATGAATGTCACTGCTAGGCTTGTGGTGCGTCTGGGGGGGCAGCAGCAAAGAAGGGAGCACAGAAATCAGAGAATCACAGAATGTTCGGGTTGGAAGGGGCCTCTGTGGGTCACCCAGCCCAACCCCCTGCCCAAGCAGGGTCACCCAGAGCAGGCTGCACAGCACCGCGTCCAGGCGGGGCTGGAATATCTCCAGAGAAGGAGACTCCACAGCCTCCCTGGGCAGCCTGGGCCAGGGCTCCGTCACCCTCAGAGGGAAGAAGTTCTTCCTCGGGTTCAGCTGGAGCTTCCTCTGCTCCAGTTTGTGCCCGTTGCCCCTTGTCCTGTCGCTGGGCACCACTGGAAAGAGCTTGGCCCCATCCTCCTGACACCCACCCTGCAGATATTTGT